TCACTACTTTACACTGTTATACAAGCTGCATGCTCACTACTTTACACTGTATACAAGCTGCACGCTCACTGCTTTACACTGTTATACAAGCTGTACGCTCACTGCTTTACACTGTTATACAAGCTGGACTCTCACTACTTTACACTGTTATACAAGCTGCACGCTCACTACTTTACACTGTTATACAAGCTGCACGCTCACTACTTTACACTGTTATACAAGCTGGACTCTCACTACTTTACACTGTTATACAAGCTGCACGCTCACTACTTTACACTGTTATACCAGCTGTACTGTCACTACTTTACACTGTTATACAAGCTGCACGCTCACTACTTTACACTGTTATACAAGCTGCACGCTCACTACTTTACACTGTTATACAAGCTGTACTGTCACTACTTTACACTGTTATACAAGCTGCACGCTCACTACTTTACACTGTTATACAAGCTGTACGCTCACTACTTTACACTGTTATACAAGCTGCACGCTCACTACTTTACACTGTTATACAAGCTGTACTGTCACTACTTTACACTGTTATACCAGCTGTACTGTCACTACTTTACGCTGTTATACAAGCTGCACGCTCACTACTTTACACTGTTATACAAGCTGCACGCTCACTGCTTTACACTGTTACACAAGCTGCACGCTCACTCTCACTACTTTACACTGTTATACAAGCTGCATGCTCACTACTTTACACTGTTATACAAGCTGCACGCTCACTGCTTTACACTGTTATACAAGCTGTACGCTCACTGCTTTACACTGTTATACAAGCTGGACTCTCACTACTTTACACTGTTATACAAGCTGCACGCTCACTACTTTACACTGTTATACAAGCTGCACGCTCACTACTTTACACTGTTATACAAGCTGGACTCTCACTGCTTTACACTGTTATACAAGCTGCACGCTCACTACTTTACACTGTTATACAAGCTGTACTCTCACTACTTTACACTGTTATACAAGCTGTACTCTCACTACTTTACACTGTTATACAAGCTGTACGCTCACTACTGTACACTGTTATACAAGCTGTACGCTCACTACTTTACACTGTTATACAAGCTGTACACTCACCTAAAGGATTATTAGGAACACCATACTAATACTGCGTTTGACCCCCTTTAGCCTTCAGAACTGCCTTAATTCTACGTGGCATTGATTCAACAAGGTGCTGAAAGCATTCTTTAGAAATGTTGGCCCATATTGATAGGATAGCATCTTGCAGTTGATGGAGATTTGTGGGATGCACATCCAGGGCACGAAGCTCCTGTTCCACCACATCCCAAAGATGCTCTATTGGGTTGAGATCTGGTGACTGTGGGGGCCATTTTAGTACAGTGAACTCATTGTCATGTTCAAGAAACCAATTTGAAATGATTGGAGCTTTGTGACATGGTGCATTATCCTGCTGGAAGTAGCCATCAGAGGATGGGTACATGGTGGCCATAAAGGGATGGACATGGTCAGAAACAATGCTCAGGTAGGCCGTGGCATTTAAACGATGCCCAATTGGCACTAAGGGGCCTAAAGTGTGCCAAGAAAACACCCCCCACACCGTTACACCACCACCAGCAGCCTGCACAGTGGTAACAAGGCATGATGGATCCATGTTCTCATTCTGTTTACGCCAAATTCTGACTCTACCATCTGAATGTCTCAACAGAAATCGAGACTCATCAGACCAGGCAACATTTTTCCAGTCTTCAGCTGTCCAATTTTGATGAGCTCTTGCAAATTGTAGCCTCTTTTTCCTATTTGTAGTGGAGATGAGTGGTACCCGGTGGGGTCTTCTGCTGTTGTAGCCCATCCGCCTCAAGGTCGTGCGTGTTGTGGCTTCACAAATGCTTTGCTGCATACCTCGGATGTAACGAGTGGTTATTTCAGTCAAAGTTGCTCTTCTATCAGCTTGAATCAGTCGGCCCGTTCTCCTCTGACCTCTAGCATCAACAAGGCATTTTCGCCCACAGGACTGCCGCATACTGGATGTTTTTCCCTTTTCACACCATTCTTTGTAAACCCTAGAAATGGTTGTGCGTGAAAATCTGAGCAGATTGTGAAATACTCAGACCGGCCCGTCTGGCACCAACAACCATGCCGCGCTCAAAATTGCTTAAATCACCTTTCTTTCCCATTCTGACATTCAGCTTGGAGTTCAGGAGATTGTCTTGACCAGGACCACACCCCTAAATGCATTGAAGCAACTGCCATGTGATTGGTTGATTAGATAATTGCATTAATGAGAAATTGAACAGGTGTTCCTAATAATCCTTTAGGTGAGTGTGTATGGTTATGGTTTAGGGTTTTCCTGTTCTACTAAGTTAAATCCTTACTCTTGTGTTTGTGTGTTTCACTTCCCGTCTGTGTTTTTCCACATTCTCTCTCTATTATTTGTTTCCCCTGTGTCTGGTGTATTTAACTTTTAGGTTGCTTGTTCTTTGCAGATGTTTAGGTTTAGTTTAAGGTCTAGTGTGTAATATTTAGGAAGATCTATTGACAGAAATGTACAAAGACCTTACATAATGTTATATAACTGTTAAGGTTTTATTACCTTAAATTAACTTCGAAAATCGAAAATCCATTCATGACATAAAATGTGCTCAAATAGTGGTTGAAAGACTGAATGTCAACATTGAGGCTGCTGAAAACTCACCTCAATACCTGCGCCCACATCACAAAAGGTGGGGCAGAACATGACCAGTCTCTGTGATAGCCTATAAGATAGCTAATAACCAAAAATATTTCTCAATATCTTATTTTAATATTTCAATATCTCTGCCAAACTGCTCAAAATATTCAGTGTCACATAAGAAAAATGAAATCCATTTATTTTAACGACTATGACAGGCTGTGCTAAAAGGACTGGGATTTCAAAGCAGTGAGTAGGCTTACTCTAAAACCTATAATAGTAGCTTACAAGGCTTTCAGTCAGTCTCTGTGGGATGATATCGCTATAGTTTCTCCACTTCACCGCAGCAAACATAAAGCAGTCTATACAACAGTCTGTGGGATCTCCTATGGTGATGTCATTTTCCTAGAGAGCTGATTGTTCAGTAGGCGGTGTTTTTATAGAGCTGATATCTTACCTGGAACATAACCTGGTAAGTTACCATGGTGATCTACCCTGGTAAGAAGTGAACAACTGTTGTGGTACAGAAAACCCAGGGTTAACCCCGAAGTTACCTTGCTATGCTCAAATCCTGCTTTGTGGTACAGGTCCCAGGAAGGTCAAATTGTTGTTGCTAACATCTTGTCATGTAAACTTTATGTTACTGTCCACAAGGTTGACATGTTCTGTGAACGCCTGCACTTCCTGGGTCTTAATTTTGACCCATGTGTCATCCACATATTTGTACCAGTTGCTTGGTCCTGTTCTTCTGAAGGAGCTCAGGGCTCTACTTTTCACTTCCATGTAGATGTTGGCACAATAGGAGATACTGGTGAGTTCATGGCACAGCCATGCTTCTGTCTTTAGAATCCTCTGTTGTACTAGAAATCGGCAGTGTTCAGACAGAGGTCCGACAGTTCATAATTTTTGTCTGGGCTAAGGTTAGTTCTGTTATTCAGCATGTTGTTTTGTAGCAGTCATGGACTTATGGTTTACACTGCCTCCATGGTGAGGATACATGTGAAAAGGAGGTCACATCATAAGACACCATGGATTCATCTGGGTCCAGATTCAGTCTTCGAAATGTGTTCAGAAAGTCTATTTTGTGGATGTGGTGAGGTGAGGTATGTTGCTGACCAGGAAAGTAGATATTTGTGTTAGGGTCAGAGTTAGGTTAATGCTGCTGATATGCATATCTTAGGTAGTCCATATATTTATGGAATGGCTTCTCCAGGATACAAACTGTGATATTGTTCACAGATGAAGATTTTTTCTTTCTGTAGCTGTTGTAAACATTCCATGTCTTTTTCTTATGTCCACTGGTGGGATCTCCCCTCACGGTTTCATTTGTCTTAGTTTTCACTGAGTAGTGTGTTGACCCTGGAATGGTAGTCTGCTGTATCAAGGACCACTGTGCAGCCTCCTTTGTCAGTATGTAGGATACTGTAGTTGTGTTTTGATCCTTGCTCAGTGATATCATAACCTTCCTTTGCTGGTTGGTGATGTTGGAAAGGGCTACCTTCAGCATGAGATGTTAGCTTGTTTTTGTGTTTCTGTGAGGAGGTTCACTATTGGTAGCTGCTGTGGTGTGATGGCAAATTTTCGTCTTTCTTTAGTTTGGTATGATCCATATGTGACAGTTCTTCACTGTCTGTTCTCTGTTTCATGTAGTGTGGAATGACGTTTCTTTTCCCTCCATGTAAATTCTTCTGTTTTCTTGATGTTGCCGGCTCGTGACTGTAGGTTTTGGCATCTCCAAATCTTTTCATGCTCTTGGCGTGTTGAGATAGCTGTGCTTTCTTGATAAATCAGTGACCTTTTCAAAAACTGTACTGGGCAGATGTGTTTTCAGTTTGTGGTGTAAGCTGTCAGACTTATTCAATGCTTCAATGGCTGATATTGTACCTTCTCCATGTTAATTCCAACTCTGTGTCCTTTCACCATGGAGCCTAGATGTAGGCTGTTGTCAGCATCTCAGGCTAATCTGTAGGTGGTTTCTGTAGTATGCCATTTTCCAAGCTATCCTCTAGTACCATTCTGAGGGTGTTCATCCCAAAATGCTTAAGTAACATGGCTGTTTAGATTCTCAGTCATCTATGTCATAGTTATCCAAGTTGGTTTCAAATCAAGGGCAACTGGATGTTATGCCCTCATAAAAGGCTTCTTCAGTCCAATAACAGCGAACATTTTCTACAGTTTCTTTAAGAAACAAAAGTATTTTCTGACTGCAGAATAAATTTAGTACAATAAGGATGAAATTCTAACCAAAAGAAAATAAACAATTTTATGGTTATGTATGAACAGAAATTAGGTTCAATTGTTAATTAAACATATCAGATCTACAATAATAACAGAGAATCAGTGAACTGACCTCAGAGTCTCCAGTCTGCAGTGTGGACTCTCCAGAAAACCACACAGCAGCTTCACTCCTGAATCCTGCAGGTTGTTTCCTGTCAGCTCCAGCTCTCTCAGATGGGAGAGGTTGGACTTCATAGCTGAGGCCAGAGAAGCACAGCTGATCTCTGACAAACTGCAGAAACTCAATCTGAATAAAGAATAAATGATTTTATCATTATTATGATTGTTTGATTTTTTTGACATTACTATGTCCTAATCACATTACTTTTCCCTAAAATGAGTAATGGGACTGTGTGTGTGTGTGTGTGTGTGTGTGTGTGTGTGTGTGTGTGTGTGTGTGTGTTCTGAAGGATCAATATCAGTGATCAGACATTATTTGTGAAAACACATTGAAATCAACAGAAAGCAAAGTCAGGGAAATGACCTTAGAGTCACCAGTCTACAATGTGGACTCTCCAGTCCAGCTGACAGCAGCTTCACTCCTGAATCCCGCAGCTTGTTGTAGCTCAGGTCCAACTCTCTCAGATGGGAGGGGTCGGACTTCAGTGCTGAGGCCAGAGAATCACAGCTGATCTCTGACAAACTGCAGTGCCCCAATCTGAATATAGAATAAATGATGGAGATAAAAATCCATTTCTAATCCAATCAGATGAGTTCAGGTTTTAAATGTGGAGCTCAACATTACTATGTCCTAATCAATGAGCTTTTACCTAAAATGAGTAGAGGGACTTTGTCATTGTGTTATTGTGGATCATCATAATGTCAGCCTTCTACAGACATCATCCAAATGTCAGCACAACATTCATACACCTATTCATGTCAACACAGATCAATAACATGCTGCTGATCTCAGGCCAGGCTGGAATTAGAGGATCGATATCAAATCAGACATGCTGGACAAAAAGACTGCCCCTTATTTCGTTAATTTATTATAACCTTCTTCTGCTTTCGATTTCTTAACAGCTGCATTCCCTCAGCACAAACTGCACCCCAGGAGACCCATCTGTCAAACTCCTAAAGTTTGCTGACGACATCGGCCTCATCCGGGAGGTTGATCAGCTAGCTCTCTGGTGTGGTCAGAACAACCTGAAGCTTAACACGCTCAAAACTGTGGAGATGACCGTGGACCTCAGGAGGAGTCCCCCCACTCTGCCCCCAAACACCATATTCAACAGTCCTGTGTCTGCTGTGGAATCCTTCAGGTTTCTGGGATCCACTATATCCTAGGAACTACAGGGAGCCCAACACTGACACCATCATCAAGAAGGCCCAGATGAGAATGTACTTCCTGCGCCAGCTCAGGAAGCTCGACCTGCCTAGGGAGCTCCTGATCCACTTCTACACAGGCATCATCCAGTCTGTCGTCTGTTCTCTCTTCTGGTAGGCTCTACAGAGCACTGTACGCCAAAACCAACAGACTCAGGAACAGTTTCTTCCCACAAGTCATCACTCTGATGAACAGCTGACTCGGACTCAGTGTCGGGAACAATTCCTTTGCAATAACCCAGTAACTCTGCCTCTATTCAGCCACCTGTTTACTGGCTACCACTTATCATTTATTTATTGATCATTCTCTATTTCAGAGCTGTTCATACTGTTCATATTGTATATACTGTATACCAAATCCACCTACCTCAAGTACATAACACCTGCACATAATACTTATTTATTCCAGCATTCTTTGCACTCACCACACTGTGTATATGTATGCTTGTATGTGTATGTGCACCTGTATATCACATCCACCACCAACATGTACATATTAATAACCATAATGGTAATAATAATTTACTCCTGCATCCTTTGCACTCTGCTTATTGCACTATTGCATTATTGTCTCAATCTGTCTGATTTGTTTATAGTGTGAATATATATGTTCTCTACACTGTAGCCTGTGTTTGATTTTATTACTGTATTATTGTGTTATTTTATAAGTAAGGACATCGTGAGTATTGTACAATCAAGAGTGAAATTCCTTGTATGTGTACACATACGAGTACACATAAATAAGGCTGATTCTGATTCTGTAAAGTAATCTGTTTACAGGGAAACTTCATAAATCTCGAGCTAAGGCAAAGCAGTCGGAAGACTTTAGAGGAAACACCAGAAAATATTAAATTTTTCCTGATAACCATAAAAGCACTTTTTGCATGACATACTGAACAACCTCCAGCTCAAGCTGAGCATTGAACAACTGCTTGGTGTAGTCTTGGAAAGTTGGGCTGCGAGGGGCGTTTTCAGTACATGTTCCATGGGTGGTGGGGGGCGTCTATTGCACTGTAGGGCTGGAGGAGATTCTAAGTAACATAGTGACAAAAGTAACATTACAAAGTAACATTCTTGACATCGACAATTGAGGCAATTTCTAACAGCGTACTTGCACAAACATTTACTGAAAGACTGGGCAGGACAAAATAAGGGGGGTTACATTTTTTCTCATAATCTATGGTTCTTTAGACACGATGGCGACACATATTTGGGTCGAAAATAAATGTGAAAGTGCATTTTGTATAAGGGACCTTTAAGAAACACAAGTCTTTGTGACTGCACGTAACACTGCAGACTAAATTTAGTATAAGAAACATTGAAATGATCTTTATGGATGTAAGTTCTGTATGAACCAAAATTAGGTTCAATTGTTAATTAAACATATCAGATCTACAATATTAACAGAGGGTCAGTGAACTGACCTCAGAGTCTCCAGTCTACAGTGTGGACTCTCCAGTCCAGCAGACAGCAGTTTCACTCCTGAATCCTGCAGCTTGTTGTTACTCAGGTCCAGCTCTCTCAGATGGGAGGGGTTGGACTTCAGAGCTGAGGCCAGAGAAGCACAGCTGATCTCTGGCAAACTGCAGCCCCACAATCTGACAACAAAATAAATTATGTAACTTTAGAAAGAAAATGTTCATGCTTGAAATCATTTGGTGTTCAATTATCTGTTCAGAGCTGAAGAAGGTTTAGAATGAAAAAGTTTAGAAAATGGAAACTCCAAACACCTGACCCCAACAGGATGCAGGTTCAAACTCTAAAATACAAAAAGGTAAAAAGAGCTGTGATTAATATTAATGACAACGTGCTGCTACTTCAATAAAGACGCAGTGACTTTACCTCTTTAGCTCTGTAGATCCATCAGTGTCTCCATCTATACAAACTCATGCTGTGCAGCCAAAAACAAAGAAAAGCTCACAGAAACTGATTTAAGATTTGACTCAAGATCCCAAAGGTTCCAAAGATGCCAAATATGTCAGGATGAACTTTGGGGAAATGTGAGCAAAAGACATCTACATTATCTCTTTCAGTAATAGTGGAGTCATATCAAATCAAAGCTTCTTCACTTTAAACTATTCAGTCAGTATAAGCATCATATAGCTTCATAACAATGTTAGAAAAAGCAAATGCTTATTAAAGCTGCAAGCAGCGTTGGGAGGGCCCTCGCACTTGTATCGCGTCGGGGTGTGAGGCGATCGCGCATATTCTGGAGCTCTGCCAGTGTGGCTGTGAATTGCCAAGCGCTTCGGACGTTGCATGAAGGTGTTATACGTCACTTCCTGTGTCCCCTTTGTGGCGCTACATAGCACTTGGCGCAATGACTATAAATGAAAATTGGCGTGTAGATGTGTTCAGGGCGGGACAGTTATCAAGCACATAAAGTTTTGTGCAGATGTGAGCATGTACACTGAAGTTACAACTTCCTGTGTCATGTCGAAGAGTTGATATTCGACGCCACACCATGGACATGCCCATTGACGAAAACTCACAGATAGCACAACTTTTCATTGTCAATGCCTTTAGAATGCACAGTAGAAAATTTAAGTTGATCCGATTAATTCCCTAGGAGGAGTTTTTTAAAGTACAGAGCTTGTAAAAGGCCATAAATGGGCTGTAATTGCACATTCAAATGAAAATGACTTCCTGTCTGATTTTGGATATTGCTGCAAGAGGATTTTTTGTGCATCTTGGGATGATACTTGTACCACAAACGTTTTGTGCATCTTGGTGATTCAGCGCGCAGGGGCTGCATCTTTGAAAGGACACTTCCTGATTCCAGTAGGTGGCGCTATGAGGTTGAGTGAATTTTGACCTGTAGATGTGTTCAGGGCGTGACCCTTATCAAATGTGTGAAATTTGGTAGAGATATGAGCATGTACAGCGAAGTTACAACAACTTCCTGTGTCATGGCGAAACATTGAACTTTGTCGCCACGCCAAGGACAAGCTGTTATCCGAAAACTCACAAGATTCACAATATAGTATCATCAATGTCTTAAGACTCTTCTGAGACTGTTTTGTAGCAGGTGAGGCCAATATGTTGAGAGTAGTACATAACAGCGTAAAACTTAACACTTCCTGTTGCCAGCAGGTGGCGCTATGACATTGTGTGTTTGTTGGCATATGGATGTGTTCAGGGCAGGACTCTGATCCTACATGTACAGCTTGGTGCAGATCTGAGCATGCACACTGAACTTATAACAACTTCCTGTTTCACAGCGAATCATCAATTTTGGACGCCATGCCATGGACACGCCCATTGACAAAAACTCACAGATAGCACAAATTTTCATCCTCAGTGCCTTTAGAAGGCACAGCAGAAATTTGAAGTCGATCGGACAAAATCCCTAGGAGGAGTTCGTTAAAGTACAGAGTGTGTAAATCATCCAAAAATGAATAAATAAAATTCAAAATGGCCGACTTCCTGTTGGGTTTAGGGCATCACTCCAAGAGACTTTTTGGTACGTCTGGACATGATACATTCATGCATGTAGGCGAAACATGCCACGGGGGCTGCTTTGTTAAAAGTCATTTCCTGTTGCCAGCAGGTGGCGCTATGACCATGGGTGAATGTTGGCATGTACATGTGTTCAGGGTGGGACTCTTATTAAACGTGTAAAATTTTGTACAGATCTGAGCATGTACAGTAAAGTTACAACAACTTCCTGTGTCATGGCGGAGCAGGGTACTTTGCCACCACACCACTGCCACGCTGTTAACCGAAAATTCACAAGTTTTACAACATGGCCTCATCAATGTGTTAAGGGTTTCCTGGGACAGTTTTAAAGTTCATATGTCCTACCTGCTTGGAGTAGTACATTACAGCGTAAAACGTGTCATTTCCTGTTGCCAGCCAATGGCGCTATGACTTTGAGTGAATATTGGCATATGGATGTGTTCAGGACGGGACTCTTATAATCTATTCCAAATTTGGTGCAGATGTGAGCATGTAGACTGAAGTTACAATAACTTCCTGTTTTATGGTGAATCATCGATTTTGGACGCCACGCTACAGGCACGCCGTTACACGAAAACTCACTGTTTGCACAACTTTTAATCGTCAATGGGTTTAGGCTGCACAGCACAAATCTGAAGTCGGTCGGACTAAATCCCTAGGAGGAGTTCACTAAAGTACAAAGCGTGTAAATTGCAAAAAATGACCAAGAAATCCAAAATGGCCGACTTCCTGTTGGGTTTAGGCAGTGGCTCCAAGAGGCTTTTTTGTGCGTCTGCACATGATACACTTACCCCAGAAATTTCGTACACATAGGTAAAACTTTGCCACGCTCATGCGCGAAACCCATAAAATGCAACATTTTTCGCCACTCCAAAATTTTGCGCACAGTTTGGTGAGTTTTTGAGTATGTTTAGGCCCCCAAGATTGAGGTTACTTTGCAGAAAAAGAAATAAATAAAACGTTCAGTTTCAATAAGGACCTCGCACGATTCGTGCTCGGGCCCTAAATATATTCGTCATAGTCTGATAGTTGAAACACAGATTATTTATGTATTTTATAATCATGTAGTTAAACTCATGATGAAGAATATAAGATGAAAATCAGGAGTTTAAGAGGTTCAGAGTGAATTACCTAGTGGAAAATGTTCTTGTTATATTAAGGTTTTAAATGTGGAGCTCAACATTGCCCTGCGACAGTCAATGGACTAAATCACTGAAGAAGAAAATAGACTTTAACATTAAGATAGACAGTGTTGATCAGTATAATATCAGCCTTATGTCTGCTTTAGTGTCACCACAACTTTCACAGCCCACTGATCTCAGCACAGATGTAAAAAATGATGTCTGACCTCAGAGTCTCCAGTCTACAGTGTGAACTCTCCAGGCAAGCTGACAGCAGCTTCACTCCTGAATCCTGTAAGTTGTGGTTTTCACTCAGGTCCAGCTCTCTCAGATGGGAGGTGTTGGACTTCAGAACTGAGGCCAGAGAAGCACAGCTGATCTCTGACAAACTGCACCGCCTCAATCTGAATAAAGAATAAATGATGGAGATAAAAATCAGTTTCTAATCCAGATGTTAGGTGTGTTCAGGTTTTAAATGTGGAGCTCAACATTACTATGTCCTAATCAATGAGCATTTCCCTAAAATGAGTAGAGGGACTTTGTCATTGTGTTATTGTGGATCATCATAATGTCAGCCTTCTACAGACAGACAGTCAACACAGAGCAATAACATGCTGCTGATCTCAGGCCAGTCTGTAAATAGAGGAGAACAGCTAGACTAAGGGGGCTGTCCTCTGAGACCTGAATCAGGGCATCAGTGAGCTCCTGGACAGACTGTGGCACTACTTGGTGGTGTCGGATGCACCGATACCTAACATTCTAGAGGTTCTCAATTGGATTCAGGCCTGGGGGACATGAGGGCCAGTCAATGGCATTAATGTCTTGGTCATCCAGGAACTGCCTACACACTCTGGCCACATAAGGCCAGGATTTGTCCTGCACCAAGATAAACCCAGGGCCCACTGCACTAGTGTAAAGATTGACAATAGCTCTGATGATTTCATCCTAGTAACTAACAACATTCAGGGTACTGGCTATCATGTGGAAGTTTGTGTGTCAAAGGATCTGCCTCCCCATAGCAACACCGATTCATCACCACATGGCTGGTTATGCTGGATGATGTTGCAGGCAGGATAACGTTCACCATGGCATCTCCAGACTCTTTCGTGTCCTTCACATATGCTCAGTGTGAAGCTGCTCTCATTTGTGAAGAGAATGGGGCGAATTCCAATCAAGCTGCACAGTGCTTGGCTGTGAGCACAGATCCCACTAGAGGATGTCGGGCCCTCATTCCATCCCACCCTCACAGGGTCCATTTCTGACAGTTTTGTTCCGAAACATGCACACCAGTAGCCCACTGGAAGTCATTTTGTAGGACTCTGGCAGTGATCCTCCTGTTCCTCCTCAGACAAAGGAGCTGACATCAGTCCTGCAGCTGGGTTGATGCCCCTGTACGACCCAGTCCAGCTGTCCTCGTGTAATGGCCCTTCTCCTGGTATCTCCTTCATGCTCTTGAGACTGTGCTGGGAGAGACAGCAAGCCTTCTTGTGACAGCACATATGGATGTGCCATCCTGGAAGAGCTGGTCTACCTTTGCAACCTGAATTGGTTGCAGATACCATCTCATGCTACCAGTTGTGACAAGGACACTAGCAAAATGCAAAACAATCAGTCAGGAATGATAAGGAGAGAGCAACTGTCTGTGGCCACCACCTACAAAACCATTCCCTTTTTGGGGGTTGTCTTGCCTCTCTAGTGCACCTGCTGTCATTTCATTTGCAACAAAACAAGTGACAATGATTCACAATCGCTTCTGCTTCCAAACTGGACAGATTGATATCCCGGAAGTTTAACTGACCTGATGTTTGACTGTGATGATTAAGTGTTCCCTTAATTTATTTGAGCAGTTAATGTCGATTAATTAAACATATCAGATCTACAATAGTAACAGCCCACTGATCTCAGCACAGATGTAAAAAATGATGTCTGACCTCAGATCTCCAGTCTGCAGTGTGGACTCTCCAGAAAACCACACAGCAGCTTCACTCCTGAATCCTGCAGCTTGTTTTCACTCAGCT